TCCACTGAGCTGCAATGAAGAAAAGAATCGCAGCTCGAAGATTGTCAACTTAGACAAGTCCCTCATAGCCTGGGGAGAAGCTTTCATGGTATCCACTTGTAATTAGTTCTCCAAAAGTTTCCCGCCCACCCCGTGCTGCAAGCACTGTCCCTGTCTTTTCTGGAGCACCTCAACGTCTCCGTCCTGGGCACCACACCTCTCCCGGGAGAATGGGGCGTGCCGGAAGCAGCGGATGCTCGGTGAGGATGGGCTCCTTGCACACTGACAGGCTGACGTGACTGACACGCGTTGGGGCCAAAACAGGGCAAGAGGTTGAGGGTTCTGGGGTTCTAGGGCTGCAGCCAATGCTGCTGCGCATGCAATTTGGGGATGGGCTGAACTTCAGCTTTCGACGGTATTCCAGGCACCAACCGAAAACCATGTCAAGTCTGAAGGATGTTGCCATCTGTTGCCCTACTGACGTATCCTAATTCCAGCTCGACATTAGCATAGACCGCGGAACCCAAAAGCAGTCCTTGAAGCATGCTCCGCAACTCAGCCTGCCCGAGCCTTCCTCGATGCTCCACCGGGCCAGCGGTCGGCCCTTGGAAAACGCGCAACATGCAAGGCCAACAGCCCCATGCCAAGAACCGCATGACCCAGCGCAGGCCTCGTCCTCGCCAGCCTTCAGGCCGCAGCAGCCGGGGCCGAAACGGCCAATGAGGCCCTGCCGGCCGATGCCCCGACTAGGCGGGCGAGGCCCCAATGTGACCTCCCGGGCAGCTTTCAGCTCCAGCGTCGCAAAGTCCGACTCACCGGCATCAGCAAGTTGAAAAGCGCCTGTGCGGGTCGCGTGTCCTCAAGACGCCTCGTAGAGTCGGCAGAAGCCCGCTAGGGACTTGAACTCCTGCGGGCAGCCACTTATGCAAAGCCTGCAACGCACACTCACGCTACACGCTGGTGTCAAAGCAAGTGCAAGCCTTGTCAGTCAAAATGAGGTCAAATTTTCCTGCCTGACGCGGCCAACTCGGTCAACGTGCACTCTGCGAACAAAACCAATCGCAGCTTGAACTCAGGCGTGCCGCGCCTCATCCTCTTGTTTGGGAGGCCGAGGGTCCGAATCCAAGCAGTCCAGCATCTTACCTCATGTAACTACTCTGCTATCCCTTGCTTCACAAAGTCCTCCAAGCTCAGCGCAGGCCGGCGCCGATGCTCCTCTAGGCCAGCGATTGGCCCAGGGAACCTTGAGACACCGTCCACATCCACCACGCAAATCCGACTGCCCTCGAAGAACTGCACGCACCAAGCGCAGGCCTCGTCGTCCCCAGTGGCCCCAAAGTTTCTCATATTCCCGGCCGAATCTGAAAAACAGGCGCCACTCCTGCAGGCAGCGCAGCCGAGAAGCGTATCCCACCCAAAAATTGCACAAAGCAAGTGGGCCAGCCTGGTTGGTAAGCTCTAGCTTCCGACGCATGGCCTAGCACTGCAGGGGGGATCGCTGGGGCATGACATGGCAGGACGAGCCTTGCGCTTCTTGGGCGGAGTTGCCGGATCGTACGGATCCGGGTGCCAGGTGCCCTGCAAGACGGCGTGTCTGTTTGTCAGCCCGCCAGCTTCACAATTCTTCACAATGATGCTCGCGAATGCGCGGGATGTCCTCCAGCTTCGGAAGGTTGGGTGGGACAAAGAGCAGCTCTTCGATCTGCAGGTTGACACTTGTCAATGCGCTGGTGGCAAGCCATCCCTGAAAAATGCCCAGCCTCCACCGCCGGTGGTAGAGTCTCGGGCGGGACGTCTGCCGCCTGCTGGCGAGGGCCGAGAATGCAAGCAAAGCACGGCAAGGCTGCTTTGGTCAGCACGCATGACCTCTTCTCTCTCTCCTGTTGGCGATGGCGGCTCGGGCAGCAGGTCTGCCTGCAAGGCTGCCACTGCCGTTGAAGACTGCAGGCACATCTACTTGGGCCAGCAAGTGTGGCCTCCTCTGTGAGGGATGCAGCAACCGGCAGCAGTGCCGCCTGCCAGCGAGGACTGAAAGCAGGCGACGAACTCGGCAGAACGTGACCTGCGCTGCCGGCGATGGAGGCTGCAGCAGCAGCGCCGCCGCCTGCTTGCGACGACCGCTATTGCAAAATGAGCTTGGCTTGGTCAGCAAGCAAGTCGCCACCTGGACAAGTTGTTCCAGGAATCCGGGGTCCTCAGGCGAACGGCTCTCGTTGGCAGGCCATTTAAAGGAAAACCGGTCCTGCCTCCAAGGGCCATTCTAACATCTGCGCTGGCTCCTCAAGAAGGCACAATCCAGTCGCAAGATTGGCTGGGCTCGATACAAGACGAAACCTCAAAAACATCAGGGTTCCTCGAAAGAAGTCCGGGACCTCACGTAATGCGAAAAGTGCCCCTGCCTCAAAGGGCCATTCAACCTCCGGCCGTGCAGCCTCCTCAACAATGCACTGCCATTGGCTAAAGGCAGAGAGGAGTCTGAGAAAAACAGGACTCCACAAACAATGCAGGAAAAAAACAAACATATATATATATATATATATGTATTCGACCCTATATAAAAAGTATACGGTGACATGATGACCAACTTTTTTTGGTGGCAGCTGGCAGCACTGCACTTCACTGCACGGAATGCTACTGCCTCCACGGGCAGGTCCACAGCCCGCCTTGCTGGCTCCTCGACAGGGCACCGCCATGATCGAGGGGAGGGGAATTTGAAAACAAACAGGGTTATGTAGGGTTTAGGGTTATATTGGGATAATGGAAAAGAAAATAGAAACTACTACATTAGAATAGGGTTCCTCAAATTCAAGTTTGAGATGGCTTTGATTCTGGGCCGCACATGTCTGCCTCCAGCGGCTGTGCCATCGCCGGCTGAGGCGGCACCTCAATGAAGGACCGCCATTAACAAAATCGGGTGAGAGACGGGATGAAGCCTGAAAATATCAAAAAGCTAGCGCGCTACCCCGGCATTCCAAAGATTACAGGGTGCCATGATGACGGACCGTTTTTTCGAGGCGGCCACGCTGTGAGCAAAATTCCTATGCCATGAAAAGGGCTCCTGCCTGCATGAACAGGTCCGCCGCAGGCTGTGGTTCCTCGACAGGGCACCCCGACTAGCAAGAATGCCTGGGTTCAAACCGGAAGGAAACTTGAGAACAGAGTGTTGCGGGTTAAGAATCCCTGCGGAGCGTTCTGCTGAGGCCCTGGCTGGTGGTAGGAGCCCTTCCTCCAAGGCTGCCAGGCTCTCGAGCTGAAGCCCAAGTTCTGAGGCTTCGGAACTGCGGGCTGCACGTGCCTTTCAGCCACACGATCCCATGTGACGTGCAGCAACGGCTGGGAAAGGAATCCGCCTTGAGCAGGCACCACACCAAGCTGGTGAGCGCTCCCAAAAGGGAGAGCCCAATCCACAAAGCGCTGCAGGGCCTTCGGTCAATCGACTTTGCGGGAGGCTCTCGCGGGGAACCAGTACTGCATAGCACACCACGCACGACTGCGGCAAACTGGCAGAACTGTTTTTGATTTGGGTAGACGAGGCATATCTCCGTCACAACTCCGCGGAATCCTTCAAGCATGCTCGGGCCCCGAGCAGAGCCACGACTTCCAGATGTGTGCTCGCCATGGCACAGACGAAGCGGGCGACTAAACCAGGGGTTCGACTTGAGACGACTGCGATTCAGTCTGGGGATTCTTTGCAAGACAGCAGGAGCAAAGCTTCTGCAAGTGCCAGCACGCAACTGTCAAAGCAAATCTTGCAGAACAGCGTGCCTTTCCATTTTTTAGTCCGTGGGCCTCTCTAGGCGTGATGCTTTTGCACTTTGCGAATTAACTTTGTCGAGGTGCCCCGTCGAATCGGATCAAATGGACCTGATATCTCGACGAAGTCACCTCGCAAAGTCCAAGGCACTAAAGTAGAAAACTTCTCATTTACGTGCATGTTGGTCAAGCTTGGAATCAGGCGTGGAGTGTGGAGGCGGCGTCAAGGACTGTATCAAAGGGATTCAAAGGGTAGCCCACGCTGAATGACGAGACAAGTCATTGCCCCCCGTGCTTAAGCAGGACCACGGTATACGTGTCATGAATCATAATCGACACGAAACAAAAGCGCCTCACTCCTGAAAGGCTTAAACATAAACCAAGCTAGAGGATTCGCGTGTTTATTGCACTTGCTGGTTTGATTCCGATTGAAAAATGGAAGCTGTTGTCCATTGAATAGTCGGGTTGTGGGTTGGAAATCGCCCCGACGCGTTCTGCCTTAGGCCCTGGCTGTTTGGCAGGAGCTTTCCTCCAATCAAGGCCTCCAGGCTCCCAGCTGAAGGCCAAGCTCCAAGGTTTTGGGAATCTTCCACACTACCAGCATCTGTCTGTCGCCTCAATTGTCCAGTACGGTATCCACGAATCGACACGGAAGACGCAGCTCACTATGGAAGACTGCGACACATTAGCGCTGCCCGGCTTGTAAACAAACAGCATGCTCGGGCTCAGGCAAAAAACAGCTACTTTTGTGACTGCCAGAGCATGTGGTGAAATCAGATGTTGGCTTGAGGCAATTGCGGCTTCAGCGTGAGATGTCCAAGGAGGCTTCTGTACTAGCATGCCAAGACGACGGAAGCTGGCAAAAACTTGTGAAAGAGTGCTTCCTTTGAAGTTTTCTCCAGTAGCCCCTTGCGTGACTGCTTTGACACCGGAGATCACTTTGATCCAATGTCAGGCATGGGCACCTCCAGCGAGCCAGCCCACAAAGCAGAAAGCATCAACATGAGGCTTCTCCAACTGCATAATGGTCAGGCTTGGAATCCGGCATGGTGTGTCAAAGGTGGCGTCATGGGTTTGATCAACGGATAGTATGTGCTGCCTGGCCATGTATAAGACCATCCAAACACAGCTCATTGTCAAAGTAAGACGTGACTAGCCAGTTCCATGCCAGGCTTACGGGGCACATAGAAGTCATCAGGGCGCCTGGACACTTGATTACACTGGTTAAGGGCTAAATGAACAGAACCTTAGCTGGATAAGCTCGTGGCTCTATTCGCACTGTCTTCTGCCTGACAAGCAGCGATCAGCCATAGTGTGCAGTATGTGCAATTGACATGCCTGTAAACAAGCATCGAAACGACAAGAAGATGCCGGTTTTCTGTCTTTGCCCACTTTGCTGGCTCCATGTGTAGGGCCAGTTGACACAAAGACCAAAGCTCAGCGTCCTCCACAGGCACCGTAGCACAACTACTATGAGCTCTTATCCTTCTGAGGAAGCCAGCCTCTGCCTGCAAGCGTCCTGGAGGCCTGCTTCCAATGATCCGGCTCCTGGTCCCAACTGGCTTTTGGAAGGTAGTCAGGGAGCCTTACTGGCTTCAACGGGTTCAAGTGCTGTGCAGGAAGACTCAGAAGCCCAAGGCTCTCTGCAGTCGACCACAATCAAACTGCAAGAGACTTGAGGTCAGCATGCCATTCCACGCATTCACGAGCAACAATTCATCTTAGAATTTACCAGACTGCTCGCAGCTGGCAAGTCCTCTGCGATGAAGCTCACAAGTACAGAGGCCTGCAAGAAGACACTGTTGTAAACAGTCAACCTGCATGTCAAACTGAGGCCTTTCCGCTCTTGTTCGCCATCTTCTCCTCTGCTTCTCGCACTGCCTGCACCAGGGAGAGGCAGCTGCTGGAACAGAAACGGAAGGGCTCTGCAAAGCACCTCAGCGGCTTTGCCAACGTCATCCTCTGGAACTGGCTTGCCGTTAACCTTGGGAGCATGCCGTGTGCTCTACCCTCACTTGCGAAAAGGTCCCAGTCTGAAGTCTAGAGGAAACATTCTAATGCAAGCACATTGTGCCTCGAGCACTCTCCAGCCAATTTGCACCCCTGCTGGTATGGCAGCACCTGACCAAAGAAAGCAGCTATCTTCCTCCACGGTGCAGAAGCCCCAGGCTGCATCAACTTCTTGGTCTGAAGGCTCGTGTTCCGACTCTTCGTCATGGTGGATATTTTGCCGTCTCGACTTCGTGGGGATCAATTCTGTTGCCGGGCTCATGTCGCTGTGGTCAGCGGCCTCCGTCAGCCAGATCCACAACTAGTGCTCCATCAAGCCTCGAGTGTCTTCACCCATAGGATTACTGGGACTCTACAAGCTGAGACTTTGGTAGGTCTAGGAAAGAAAGCTGCCCGTCTACTTGCGCGCTAGGCGCCGCACTCCATACCAAAAGGTCGCGACCTGGCCGTTATATCAAAGACTCAACATCCTTTCATTTAGGTGCACTGCGCGCCATCTAGGACCCTCTGGGAGACACACCTGTCTTTGAAGGCGTTCGCTGAGCAGAGCTGTATCTGGCGGTCAAATGGCGAGGAATCTGACGATGGCCATCTCTTGATTGAGAGCCTCTCGCGTAGCCACCGGACCAGCTTTACCTTGGCTTATGAGGAGCCTTGCACAATTAGCGCTGGCTCTGTTATTGCTGCACCATTAATTATGCTTGACCATCCTGACTTTGACAACTAGGTGTCAAGCTCCTCTTGTCCTTCTTCTCCTTCTTCTGCTTCTTGTCTCCTGGCTCCGCCTGGAATCCACAGGCACTTCTGCAAAACATGATGCTGCTAGCGCGCACCTGTGGCGGAAAGGCTTGTGGGCCCACTACCCGCTTGGCAGGCTCGGATGGAGCACTTGCAGCCTGGGGGTCCGGCAATTGGGTTTTCTTGAAATACAGATACGCACTGCACAAATGCACCTACTTAGATGCTAGACACTAAACTCGCAATCCCAAGCCATCAACCATAAATCTTAATGACAGCAGCGGCGCCGGCATACTGGAAGCCTGACTCTTGTTTTAAGTAAGTGTTTCCTGACTGACTTCTTCAGATTGCTACTTCCATCGACTTGGCACGGTTGCGACCTAAACATATGTCAACGTTTGCCTGATGCTTTGTGGTGTCTGTGTCTATTGCGAGGTTTCATGTTTCTGCATTACTCAGGCATATCTCAATAGCATCAGGGGTGTGCACTTGTTACAGATGGGATTTAAAGAGACATTTTGTGCTTAAGCAGAATCGAGAAAATGAATCGAAGACTTGTCCGGTACAGAGGACCTCTTGTGCTCACTTCGGTAACATGTCCGAAAACCATATGGAAAAAAATCTTACACTGATGAAATACACAGTCTTCTACTCATTCGAGTAATGAGCTCGATAAGTTTTCTGTGAGAAGTCCAAAGGCTCTGAGAACGCTACTAGCATTGCTTCTCAGAGAGAGGAAGATGACAATCCAGAAAGCATGTGTTATGAGGCAAAGGAGGGATTCCAACTTTTCATCAAAAAAGAGAGCGACGTTTTTGAAAAGTAGGTGCCCTTGCTTTTGTCTTCTTCAGAAAGGTGGGGCTCTCCTGTACTTCGAACACAATTAACTCCCTTGTTTTCGTATAGAATGACAGAACTCTGTCTGCAGAAGCATCATTTGGCTTCATAAGAAAGGTAACGCGCTCATTTGTGACCCGCGGTGACGCGCCGAATTTTTGGAAAAAAAAAAAAACGCGCTTTATGGTGGTTTTGCGCTGATTTCATTTTACTAGTATGACTTTCAAAGCACATCTTCGTTGATCATGCTTCGGAACCCTCGGGTGATTCTTTTTTCCAACTAATCTTGTTGCGAGGTTGTGTCACGCGAAGTTTGGTTGAACAATTCCGTTGTGGTCGTGCACTCAAGTTTAAACAACATGCCTTTTCCATGACTTCAGTTGCGACTGCAATGGGCAATTAAGGGCAGTCGTCTTTTTGGATGTATGAAATTTCTTTCAAAAACTGAGGTTGCCTCTGTTGCCTCTGTGGTTTCTCGTGCTTGCTTTTAAATCTCCATTAGGTTTCCGGTAGCTTTTCCCGAATTCGCAGCAGAAGGGTTCTCGTTTTTCAGGTTGGGGGTCTGGGGGTAGGGAGTTGACGCGAAATCCGTGCGGAGCGCTCGCAGGCGTCCGCAACCGTCCGCGGCCGAAAATCGTCGCGAAACGCAGCAGAACTGTCGTCACTTTTGGACCCGCTTTGGGTCTTCGCGTCTCTGAAGTGTCAACGGTCACAGGGATCCGGGGGGTCCTGGTCGCGAAACGCAGAACTGTCGTCACTTTTGGACTCGGTCGCGAAACGCAGAAGAGCGGAGAGAGGAGACAGGAGAGGAGCAGAGCAGAGAGGAGAGAGGAGAGAAGAGGGAAGAGAAGAGAGAAGAGAGATGAGAGAGAGGAGAGGAGAGAGAGGAGAGAGAGGAGAGAGGAGAGAAAATAGAAGAGAAGGGAGAGAAGAGAGACGAGAGGAGAGAGAAGAGAACAGAGGAGAGGAGAGAGAGGAGAGAGGAGACGAGAGAGGAGAGAGGAGAGAAGAGAGGAGAGAGTAGAGAAGAGAGAGGAGAGAGGAGACGAGAGATGAGAGAGGAGAGAAGAGAGGAGAAAGGAGAGAGGAGAGAAGAGAGAGGAGAGAGAAGAGAAGATAGAGGAGAGGAGAGAGAGGAGAAAGGAGAGGAGAGGAGAGAGGATAGAAGAGAGAGGAGAGGAGAGAGGAGGGAAGAGAGAAGAGAGGAGAGGAGAGAGAAGAGAGGATAGGAGACAAGAGGAGAGAGGAGGGGAGAGAGAGGAGAGGAGAGAGACAAGAGAAGAGAGAGGAGGGGATACAGGAGAGAGGATGACCCCCGACCTAGGTCTCCTGATTGGTTTCGCGCTTGCGGTGTTATTATGATTTCAGTGTACGTGTCACGTGTCTGCATTCGTGTTCGTGGATCCTATCAGGTTGCTTTCTCAGAATCCTATGTTATACTATAGGAATAAGAGTGACAAATTAAGGGAGGGCAGAAACTGAAGGAGGTGTTAACAGTCATGTACACACAAACTTCTCAACCCAAAGCCGAAACTCTAAAACCCAAGATGCCCAAGCCCCCTGAACCTTGACCTCACTTTGGCGCCTTACAGCTTTAGGCATCACAGGCTCCAAGTTTGTTCTTCAGGATTGAACAAAGCATAATTCCGGACAAATATTCACACGGAGTGCCTTGGAAAGCATCTTGCAACTCGTCTGCCAGCACCCGCCAGAACGGCACCAGTGAAACTGCCGGGCACGGACAGCCCACGCCACGCAACAAGACCAAAACAAAGGTAGCCATGCAAAGAGATGCATGCTTGAGAAGCATGGCCGCCACCGCCGCCGCCACCACCGCCACCGCCACCGCCGCCACCACCACCACCGCCACCGCCACCGCCACCACCACCACCGCCACTGCCACCACCA